CGCTCTCTGGACCTAGGACCTATCAAAGTCATCATTTACCCAGAATGCTTTGTGTGCAAATAAAATGTCTCCGTCCGTGTTAAAATATATTTTTAAAAATGATAAAAACTGAACATCCTACAGTATTTTTACAGTCTTTATTTTACAGTTAAAATAAATGTTTATCAAATAAAGTCTAATGTTACAACTAATTATAAATCCCTTTAAGACCACAGAAAAGAGGACCAGTTGGTGTGTTCTGGTCTTGGTGGTGCTGGTCTCTGCAGGTGACCATCATTTTGATTTAATCATTGTTGCAGGAGCTGCAGGGTCTTGTGATCACTGTGTAAAGGCGGGGGGGTCACACGTTTCACTGTGACCCCCCCTCCAGACCAGTTTATCGTCTCAGCCAATCACTGATCCTCACTAATCAGTTGTCTCAGTCTGGATTCTGGTCCAGTCAGACCCTCAGAACAAACATTTGGTTTTCACCAGATTCAGTTTTTGTTTGTTTCTTCTTGAATTCTGTTTTATTATTTTATTTCAAACTTTATTCATTTCTTTAAAAATATTCTATATACAATAAAAAAAAAGGAAGGAAATACAATGAAATGGAAGGCAGCAGAGAGAAGAAAAAGATCATAAAATCTGCTCCTTTTTTCTCAAGTATAAATTCAAACAATCGTAATTTTCAGTTAACAAAACAAAACACAAATTCAGATGATCTAAGTGGAACACTCCCGCTCCAAAGTCTTGGTTCTGGTTTCAGAAACTCTGGGTAACGCAGACCAACCGGTCAAATCAAAAGAAAAGAAGCTGAGTGAAGCCGACCCCTCCCAAAAAATGAACCACAGAAAAATAAAATACAAACTGGATGAGTGYTTAGTGCTTTGTTTGTGCGCGTTTGTGCACTTGAAATTGTCGTTTGTGCTGCTATGGTTTTTTATGTATTAAAGATTATTATTTTATTGATCACGTGTCTGTGACGTCGTAAACAATTCAGGCCAAGTCACATGATCGTCCGAAATTATAACGCATAATGTCTAATAAATTATAGCAGCACAAACACTTGTTTCAACGACAAAAAACCTGCTCAAACAAACAAACAAACAAACAAAATTCGACTAGTTTGGTTCATTTTTGGTTCATTTTGGAGCGATGGTGACCCCTGAATGACCCTTACAAATAATCTTTAATATATAAGAAACCATAGCAACACAAACAACAATTTAAAGTGCACAAACGCGCACAAACGATGCACTAACCACTTATCCAGTTTGCCTTTTATTTTTCTGAGGTTCCATTTTTGGGAGGGGTCAGCTTCACTGTAAGATAAGACACTTTAACGAGCTGAACTTTTAATTAATCCTAATTAAACCAATCGGAGCAGGCTGTGTGCAAGGGGGCGTGGCCTAACCGTAAACACTTCATCCCACACTGAAGCTGTTTACATGAGTTCCTCTGGAGAAAGAGCTAACCCCGCCCCCTCCCCCTGCAGGCAGCTGATTGGTGGGTGGGTTCCACCTGAACTTTACCTGCTGAGTGTTTCCTCCGCAGGCTGATTGATCAGTGCTGACTCGGTTCTGTCTGATAAGTGAGCGAGCGCTCAGCAGCTTCACTATCAGCTCACCYTTGACCCCTACACCTGTGTGTGTGATTAACGTAGAGCGAGCGGCGGCGGCGGCGGCCATCACTCCGGCACGGCGGCGCCTGCAGACATGTCGGTCTCCACTCAGCTGGGTCTGCTGCTGTGGAAGAACTTCACCTACAGACGGAGACAGACGGTAAGTTCCTCAGGTCGCTGTCATCACTTCCTGTTGGTCATCCTTTCATCTGTTTCCTCCTGTAAGGTTGGGCTCTGAGGGGTTCTGATGGGTTCTATTGGATCTTTACTCTGACTGTTTTCATCCTTTGATCGGTTCCATCCTGTTACATTGGGTTCTGTTGGGTTCTGCTGGGTTCTGTTGTGTTCTGTTGGGTTCTATTGGATCTTTACTCTGACTGTTTTCATTCTTTGATCTGTTTCCTCCTGTTACATTGGGTTCTGTTGGGTTCTGATGGGTTCTATTGGATCTTTACTCTGACTGTTTTCATCCTTTGATCGGTTTCA